CAGCCAGCATGGGGAGTTGAAGTCCACTCATCTTAAAGTGGCCAAGTTTGGACAACACTGAGATAAAGTATGTCTTCCTATATTCCGTATTTTAAAGCAAGAAGCCTTCCCTCCATACACTATTGTATTAGTTTTCTATAATACAGTCAACTTTACCTTCTGAACAAAGAAGAAAATATGCAGAGGAAAAGATGCTATGAATAGTAATAATAACTACAGCGGCAGCAGTAAGAAATTTCATAACTTTAACAGATTGTTTGTTAAATATTACTGCAACCATATTCCATAAGAGCCTTGTTAATACTAAAATAAATGACAGTTTATCATTATAAACCATGCTACATTAAGTCTTATGATCCCTTGCATTAAATATCTTTTAATAAACAATATTTTCCTTAGCAGAATGAAAAGCATCCTCTTATAGTTTAATTTCATAATTTAATATTCTCTATTAAACATTTTTTAAATTATCGGAATCTTTCAAGTATTAAGTCCCAATTTCCAAAATGCTAAATCAATTTCATTATTTATCTTATATAATTTATGCTTCCTTTTGGAAAAAAAGAACTTTCCCAAGTTTATTTACTTAAAAATGTAAAAGTACAAAATAAAATGTTGATAATATAGAAAGGTACATAATTCCTCTAGTACTTTTCTATGCACATACTTCCAGATATCAAAATACATTGACTAATTATGTAATTGCAATTCTTTATTATATTCTATTTCAGAGTGATAACTCCAAGTGTCTTATATGTTGTTTTCTGTTTTTCCAAAGTGCATAAATAAACAATTTACTCTAGCGTAATTCTCCCTAATTCATCAATTCAAAGTAAATAATTTACACAAAGAGAGAGAACTTTAATGATTATACAAAGACTCATTGCTCTTTATCTTTCAAACTGTCAGTGGCTGACAGTCATGTATGCTAATGGATACACTCCTATTAATACAAAAATAAATGAGCAATGAAAATGTCAATTGCTCTGCAATCTTCTGTCATTATTTCATATCTTAGTCTACAAGCAAACATTAATGGCTTGGGAGTGGTTGCAAATAACATACAAGCTGAATTGCCTAATTTCTTTAAGACACAATCACCTAAATAATTAAAACTGAATAATGAAAATGGAAATTGCCTTTCCTTACGTTTTCCCGATGCATTCAGTGAAAAAGTTGTTTTTTGCATTTGAAGATTATTTTTAACTTCAAAAGATTAAATCATAGGTAATTCAAAGATGCTAATGGTATGGTTGCTTTAACATATGTTTTTCATGTGGTTGCTATAAAGGCAGGCAGTCTGGGTAGAAAAAA